TGAGTCAACCCTGAGCCGGTGAGATTTGAACCGCTGACCTGCTGATCTAGCAGTAGCCTGCAGTGCTGCATTTAACCACTGCGCCACCTTGGCTCCTATTTATGATGCTTGCAGCGTCCTGGGCTCAGGTGATGATGACGAGCAAACTCAATGGAGAAGCCAGATTCCCTTAGCAACAAGTGCAGCCTCAACCATTGAAGAAACTCAATCTGTCTCAGGTTCAACAACAACAACAACAAAAGCATTCATCTGCCTTCAAATCAACCATGAAATTCTTACAGGAAAAGGGGCAAAATATTTGGAATGCCCTACACATTCCCCAGGACTGGAATGGTATTAAAAATGTACGGGGATAGATAAAACATACAATGCCTGTGAGAAGACCTAACACTATTTCTGAGACAGAGGAAATTTATAAGGAAAGGAAAGGAAAGGAAAGAAAGGCATTTCCAAAAGCAAGAATGTAAACCTTTTAGCTAACCTCCAAAAATGTTTCAAAGCTGTGATTTCTTCCAAAAGAAGCATTCGCAAATATTTTCTCCGAGGGTCAAACTTTTACACTTACTATATTCACTGATTTTTTAAAATTTAAAACCTATAAACAGCTGTCTAAATATGAAATATAAAAATCAAATTTCTAGAAATATTTCACGTTTTGTCTCCTACCATACCGAGGTTTTGGCCGGTTCGGTTCATTTAGGGACTCATTGAAATATTCAATTTGACTGGAGGTGTTTGAACTTCAAAATCCTAGTTATATGCACAAATCTGGAGCTTAACAGTGAAATAAATTGCTTTGCTAAAAGATTAAAACAACTGCCAAGAGCTTTTAAGAGCCCTGTAATTAAGGGCAAATTTATTCAAATCAAGTCATCATTTCTTAGCTGTGTGAATAACGTTTGTTTTTGTTAAGATTTCTTTCATCTGTATAGATGTTGTTCTGTACTCTATTCTGGGTTGAGTATGAATGCTTAAAATTTAAAACTTCTCTGCAAGATGACTTACGTTATATCACAGAATTACAACAGAATTGGGACGCCAAATGAAATGATCCCCCGACAGATGGCTGTCCAACCCACACAAACGCTTCCAGTAAAGGGGAGTCATCTATTTCTCTGACTAAGTATAATTGTTTTTAATATAAGATTTAAAAAAATTTTTTTTAATCTGCAGCAAAGAAATACAGACAGCTTTTTATTGTGACCCTCTAGCGGTCTTCCATATTCTTACAGCCCAAATATATAGCAGCACCGCTATAATTTAAATACATTATTCTATATCAGTGATGGTTAACCTTTTTGGTGCTGGTACCCAAAGTGTGTATGGTTTCAGCCGGTGCGCACTGGTATGGGCGTACCGGTTGGTGAAATTTAGCATGCCTTCCCGTACCCCTTCTTTTGGAGGCCCCGTACCAGAACACTCCCTCCCCTAGACTGCCCACCCCTCTGCTCGTTCCCCCTGCCTGCCCGCTCACTTCTCGCTCTGCCCATCCACCCCATGCTTGCCCCGTCCATCCACTTCCGTTGCCCACCCAGCCGAGGCTCTGAGGCTGCAGGCAGCCGGGGAGGTGGGGAGAGAATATTGCCCATATGCCTGCCCCCTCCAGAAGAAACCGGGTGGGCTCTGGGATGGTCAGAAGCCCTCGCGCCACTGCCATGTGGCCGCTCTGGGGGTGCAGCATCTGCCCAGACGCGGCTACAGTTGGCAACAGGACGCGAAGGAGAGGCCATCCAGCAGAGTGTTCCGAGGTCAGTGGCTGGCAGGGAGATTGTGCGGGGCTGGGCTGGAGGAGGCAGGAAGGCAGGGGTCGAGGCTAGACCCCCGTACTGGCGAAAAAAAGAATATCCCATTCCCACCGTCTGCCATGAGGTAAGGGAAGCAGGTCTTGGGAGAGACCTTCCCTCCCCCTTCAGAGCGCCTGTGTGGGG